ATCGTTATGAGGTGGGAAGTCCGCCTAACATGTGATCTAAAGTTTGGTTGCCTAACGAGAGAAGATGTCGCTGATCTAAGTTTACTTATATAATATTTACACCTTCAGTAATTTTATTTGTACCATACCATCAAAAAAAAATGCATAAAAGGTGACTTGGTCGGTCATATAGTACATCTTAACTGCCAGTTCCTGTTATTTTAAGTCGTTTTGTTTATATAGGTGTTTTTATTATTTTTTAGAAATTTAATGTTTAATACTGTATTGTCAAATAATATATTTTAAATTATTAAATGATCAGCCACTGGAATAATTCTTTTTTTAAAATAATTTTTATTCTAAAAACTAAAGACCGATTATAGACCGATTTGACGATTTATTTACATTTCTCTCAAATTTTTATAGTAGACAGAGAGCGCATGAGAGAGCTACTTTGAATAAGAAGACTAAGGAAGGAGCATATCAAAAATCTATGGAGTGTAGAGGTAAGGAGAAATAACTCTTATGGGACTTTTATTGAAAAAGTGGTCACAAAATGGGAAGAATAAGGGTTCGCCAAATGACCACAGTGGCGCTAAAAACGCATAAATCTAAAAAATGAAAAGTAAGAGAAGATAAGAGAATAAAAATAAATATAACCAAGCATTACCCAAAAAAAGTTTTGTTTTTATTTTTTAGAATATAAAATAATTATTGTTTATGAATATTTTGTGCTTTATTTATTATTTAACAATGGTTAAAGTGTGTGTGGTGCGAAGTTGATTGAATAGCTGATGGAAAAATAAAGAACAAAGGCAAAGCCTGTAAAATACATATAATTATAATTCAGTATTGTATTATTTGTATTATATGTAAAAATTAGAGTCAATCAAAAGTGTAGTAAACATTTTTCGTAAGATTATTGACATACATGTTACAAAGTATATTTTTACAATCCTTTCTATAAAGTTACAACCTGAATAAAATTTATTTTTAATGATTTTAAAGTTTGACAGACATGCACAAATTGTTGGCATTTTTTTAAACAAATAAAAGTAGGAAATAAATAAAGTTGTAGGTACTTTCAAGAAATATAGTTAACTGTAAGTGCTGTATTTTAATAATCTATCAAAAATCAAAATCATCAGGATAATATTAGGTATTGATTTTCAAGAATTAGATTACAGCGATGGTCAAAAGCATTTAGATATTGCTTTGAAATCTACAGATAAGGTATGGCAGTTTCGTTTTAAAGAACAAGATGTTAAAGTTTATGATAAAATTGTCATCAGAAATACTGTCCACTTGCAGTATTTACATAGGAAAATGTTGGAGGATGAAGCTGTACCTACTGCCTCAGGTTAATTTAAATTCTGCAAGAGTTGCAACAACAGCAACAAGCAAGAAGGGCACCATTAAATGAATATTATACACATAAGTCTTATTATACAAAGAAAGAGTAATGTTATACACATAAATATTAACATTTTGTAGAGCAACAACAGAATAAAAAACCAAAATATGAACACCAGCAACTAAAACAGGAACCATTAAATGAATATTATATACGTAAGTACAATTTGATTGAATAAAAAACAGCGTCAGCGATGCCTATGAAATGAAGATTCCTGTCATTTTATATGTAAAATGATATGGAGAATGTCATCGAGATGTTCATTTCCAAGCCAACTGCACGCCGTGTTTTTTCGATCATACAGTATTATTATACACATAAATAGTAATATTATACACATAAACATCCCTTGATAGAGATCAACATTTTGTAGAGCAATAACAGCATCAAATAATGGAAATAATGGACCTTATTGCACAAATCAAAAACAAAATTTCAGCATTACTACTTTATTGGTTATATCAATAAAAGAAATTGAGTTTATCAGTCTAGATCCTACAAGCAAGCAGATCTATCACATAATTTTAAATGAAGATTTATCTATTATAGTATATATAAACACTTTGCATCTTTTATTCAATGTTGTAATGAATTAACAAATTCCAGGTAATTTATTCTAATAACGAAAAAAAAACTTTGGATCAAAAAATATTTTCTTTTGATGAGGTTTATGAATATTAAAGTCTGTTGAAGTTTGGCCATTATGTGTTGGTATACAATTTATTTATGATGTTACAGTAGTTAAACCATCCGAGTACAAAACATGTTTAAAATCCACTATTCTTAATGAATGGAAACTACCAACTTGAGAGGAAGCTAAGAGAAAGGTTCTATTGGGTGGACTACAAGGAAAAGGGATATACATGAGGATCTGGAAGGGCTATAACATTACGTCTCAAGCCGTGGGACAATAGGAAACGAAATTCAAAGGAAAATATTACAATACGTGGGATGCAAATTATAGTGCAAAGAATTGAGAAAAAGAATTATTAAAAGTAGTTATTGTTACGATAGTTAAACCATCCGACTACCAAATATATTTAAAATCCACTATTCTGAATGAATAGCAACTACCAACTTGGGAGGAAGCTGCGAGAACGATTCTATTGGGTGAACTACAAGGAAGACATGAGGATCTGGAAGGGCTATAAAATTATATTATTCCACGTCCCAAGCCATGCAAGCCATGTTGGAATAGCTGGGAGTGAAAAAGAAGATAATACTGCACACGATTCTTGTCTAGAAGTAGTTGATATTAAGGTAGTTAAGCCATCCGACTATTGAACATTTAAAATCCACTATTCTGAATGAATGGCAACTACGATGGCAAAACGTAAATAAATACTTGTACAGTATAAAATTACATTATATTGGCTTAATTTTTATATTAGTTATATAGTATTATTTTATAGTTATTTTTGACCTGCATTATATTTATTTAAATCCCATATAATCAATTAAACTTTAAATAGTTTCCTAATTATAATTAACATTAATTTTAAACTAAAGCTTTTTTTCATCTTGAATGAGATTTATGAAATAACTTATGAGAAAAAATAAAAAAAAGGCTCAGTCTATTGCTTCTGAATAATTGATAATAAAACCACATGTTGACTTACTTTTATACTAAATAAATGTAGGTATGAAGTTATTTTAAAGCTGCATTATATTTATTTTAAACCCATCACCAATTATTACTTTAAATAATTTTTTTCTTAATTATAATTAACATTAATTTTAAGCTAAAACGATCAGAATAATGTTTTCGTCGTCTTGAATGACATTTGCGAAATAACTTATGAGGGCTATAAAAAAAGAGCCTAGTCTATTGCTGCTGAATAAAAATCTGTAATTTATTACATGTGACATAAAATAAATTTGTATTTTTTGAAACCTGCGGCTTCACGTATATGATTCACGTCAAATATTTATGTCTTTTGAATCAGCTGTTCTAAAAATGTTCAGCGCATGTCTTAAATTTTAGGTTTTTGCTACAGCAGCGCCATCCTAATTCTTCCCTTTTTTTGACCATTTTTTAATGCACGGAGTTGTTTCTCCTTACCTCTACACTCCATACAAAAATCTTAGGTCCACCGCGATAGGCGTCAAATATGGCGGACTTAAATTCCGGTTTATCAGTGCCGTTCTAATTTTATTTAAGAAATGTAAAACTATGATGTAGGGTAGACGTGTGGTAGACTCTATAATTTTTTATTTATTTTACGTTGTGAATAAATGTTGGTAGTTATTAAAATTGTTATAAAAATATAAAATTTTAATAAAAATAGATAAGTTATAATAATTATTTATAACCATAAACATCCGATACACTACTGAAGCAGGTAAGTCAAATTGACGTATCTAAATTCTTTGACATCTAATCTTTGACAAGTAGTAAATAAAAGCAAAAATGCAAGAAAAAATATATAATTAGTTAATTTAAGTGAATTTCATAAATGATCGGTTTATTACACGTATGTATTTTATATAGTCACTTACTAGCGAAAAGCCGTTCCATTATTTCACTTGATTTTTGCCGAGATCTACCGCACGCTACACAACCAACTATTTTAGAGTTTTTTTCTATAAATCGCGAGTGTCACTGTTACACCTTTATACAACTATCAGTAGTAGAATAAATAATAAATAACATAAAATAAGCTCCGTAAAGACTGACAAATCCACAAAATTTCGAATCAAATTCCAATGTGTCAAATGAATCGTCAAACAGAACTGTCAAGGATCCCCAACCTAGAGTCCTTTTTTCGACCACCATGCTTGAATACATTGGAATACATGGATAGCATTATGCTCCTTCCTTAGTCTTCTTATTCAAAGAACAGCTACTGTTTTTTGCTTTTTTGCCGTTTAGGGAATACCGTAAACTGTCATAAATCAAGGGTCAGCGAAAATCTACGCTGAATGTCAGCGGCTGTGTTCACTGAACGCGTCCAATGCGACCTTCGCCTCGTGTCTGAGGGTGCAACCACACTATCTTAGAAACGACCTTGAATAGTTTTCCAGTAATTCTATTGGCTGAAAAATTCATCTGTCAAATATTTCAGCCAACAGAATTACTGGAAATCTATTCAAGATCATTACGCCGTTTCTAGGATAAGTGTAGATGCACCCTGAATAATGAAATCGCAAACATTCTACACTGTCTATTGCACTCCTATATATAAGTAGCAATGACCACAGTGTAAAAGAAACAGACTATCACAAGTATTGATTGCATAGAGGTCGCGCTAAATTCAAAAAATAAACTCCCCACATAAATATTTGTAAATAAGTTTAATAATTAGTTTTTAAGAATTATATAGTATCTCGTATTCTTTAGTGTAAATAAACTCTGTTAAATAAATAAAACTTTAAATTATCCACGCAGAACCCAGTAAAAACGTAACAAATAACAACACTTTCACAACTAGGGTTTCCATAAAGGCTTTTGGAAATCCCAGACAAGCAAACTCAGAAATCTGGACAAAATCTGGACAATTGAAAATTATAGAGTGTCTATTTAGATAAAATATAACTACAAAATTATTTTTATTCCATAAAAAACTGCAAAAAATATATTAAAATGCATTTATTAATGAATACTTACTAATGAATTTACATCATCCTCCAATAAATCTTTTATTTCTGAAGCTATTGATTCACTGTCTGGGTCCCAAATTTTTCTTTTTCTAAGGCCCACATCAGATTCAGCAAAAGAATCTTCAGCATCACTGTAGTGTGATTGAGACATTTTCAAATTCTTATTAATAGCCAAAAAATACTTCTGCACGTCTAAAAACCATATAACAATTTATTTAAACCATTTCTACTTCAATAGAATATTAAAATAAATTAAATAATACCTAGGTCTTATGATAAATACTGCAAACATAAAGAATATTTTGCCAATCTATTTTAAACTTTTGGAGATCACCGAGTCTGAACGATAATCGTATCACCAATAATATTTGATAATCGCAAAACTTGAACTTATATATTCTGCACTAATACAAAGGTCAAATTTAGGAATAATATGAGAATAATAAAATGTATATACCTATATATTCATTAGCGATAACAAGTGAAAGTTGTAATATCACTACTATAAAATATGTTTGCAAAATAGTATAGTAATCACTACACTAAACATAAAATAATATCCTATTTTTCAGTTTAATGAGACCATAAAGTATACATGGCTATTCGTTCGTTAGATAATTAAAATATGTTACCTCTCTTATAATTATCGAGGAGAGAGCACAGTAAGTTTTTCTTAATTACAGATGATTAAGTAACTGAAATTTTAACACTTAAAATTTAGAAAGTTGTTCCAGAAACAAGAAAATATCCCACAAAATAGGTCCCCAAAAAATGACTGACGATTGACGACTGGAATTCAGAAGTGACATAGAAGTGACATTCGCGAATGGCGACAGTTCTGACAGTTCACGTCACGTCGGGACCAAGGTCTCAGAACAGCTGTCATTAGTCATTTATCGTCGTTTTTGCACAGATAAAAGATTAACAGCCATAGAAGCTATTTAAATACCAACAAAATCGCAATTTCTCAGGGATGAATGTGTAATGAAAAAGAAACCATAATCACAGCCATAATGGCAAAAACTAATTTAGTTTTTTAGGCTTTGTGACTACTGTTTTAATTGTGATTTGACTGTGGTTTTATCTTGTATTTTTACACGAAAACGTATAAAAAAGACGTAAACGCCTTCCTTTCAGCAGATAGCAGATTGTTAAATTACATCCTATCCTTTCTTTTAAAAAATAAACATAATTAACGTAAAAAAAGAGAAAGGGACAAGGAACCCGGTTTATATACCCATCCCTGAATTAATTCAAAATTTTAAATAAAGGAGCGTAGTTTTTCTAAAATCTTTGTAAAACAATACCGCTCCAAAACAAATTTAGGTAATGGTGTGGATCCGGTGGCTGACCTTGAAACGAGTTTTTGCTGCATATAGTCACAGATACTACGCATGCGCACATCGTCGATGTTGCCAGTTTGCAAGTTATTTTGGAATTATTTTCAGTAGAAAAGAAATATGTGCTTTTCAGTGTTTTTTTGTCAATATATACCGTATGACTGAAAAACGGCGTCCAGTTGGCTGGGAAATGACGATTGAGGACATTTGCCATATAAAATGACAGCGATCTTTATTTCATAGTCATCGCTGACGCTATTTTTTTTCAATCATAGTACGCGGTATATTATTTATATTATTATTTTAATATTTCGCACAACACTTGATAAGGTTCCCAACCGTCCCGGATTGGCCGGGATTAACCAGGAATCAGAAAGTTTGTCCCGGCGAAAGTTTTGCCTTGGCCGGGACCTGGAAACTAAAAAAGTGTGTACTACATACATAATAAATTTTAATGTCTAATATTTAATGTATAAATATTAATATAATAATTTCAATTATTTAAAAGCTTAAAAATAATTGTCCCGGAATAGCTGATGCTCAAGTTGGGAATCCTCACTTGAAAGCTTATTATGTATTTTTATAGTCAATAAAATTAAATAGAAATAAAACTCTAGATTCTTATAATTAACCTAATTGCTCTAGATTATTGTACTACGTTTAAAAAGGGCTTTATTAAAAATTCGGGAAATTAAAAGGGATGTGTCCAAGTTTTTTCTTTTTTTTAATTTTTAAATGCTGTAGCTCCATGTCATGTTCATAATAGTTTTTTTTAACATTCCATCAAAACTACGGAGGCCTTAAAAGGCCTTTTAGCCTCCGTAATTAAAATTGTAGAATCAGCTTCAGCAACATTAACAGTTACCTTGTTTAATTCTGCTTATACATATATTGCATTAATTTTTCTGCTACCTTAAGATTTCTCTATTCTTACACCTAATTTATGTGATTTTCTTAGCGTATATGATTTATAAACCATATTTTTCCTAATGGAAGGATGGAATAGGATATGCAAAATTAAGATATTTTAACATTTATTTTCCAGACATAGTATAATATAGTACCGTATGATCGAATAAAAACGGCGTCAGCGATGGCTATGAAATGAAGATCGATGTCATTTTATATGTAAAATTATATGGGAAATGTCATCGATCGTCATTTCCAAGCTAATTGGACGCCATTTTTTTTCGATCATACGATATTAAGATTAAGACATAACAAATATTATAAGAAAGATCTTAATATAAATCACAAACTAACTAAGTCTTAATTTGGTCTTGTATAAACACAGTTATAAAACTAATAAGATCAAAACTCAACCTTCACCATATTGTCAAGATTTGGCATTATAGGAAACAAGAAATTGGAGTAAATTAAGAAAAGAATATCAAAGTACACGATATTATAAATACTGGGTAATTATCAAATACTGTAATGTATTCTACGACACAAACCATCTCCCTTCTAAAGAGAAAAAGATAAAACATAAAGCTTATTTTAGTCTTATCAACACACTTTTCGATAAAATATATGTCTAAAATTGCTATTAATCCACTAACTAGATATTTTTAAGAAATTATGATACAAACATTATAATCAAAGTATATTATATTAGTAACATTATAGGTAAAATGTTACCTCTATCTCCCATTGACGTGTATTGTTCTATAAGACTCGTCATGGTAGTACTTCAATACATCAATACATATGTATAATCAAAACTATTGTTGCCTGTAAATAACTAGAAATTAAATAACTTGAAAGAAATAAAATAAGTTTAAAACCATTAAGAAAATATCCGTAAATGATAATTTTTAATTCTAATGTAAATATATAAATAAATGTTATTATTATTACAATTTTATATATCATTCCCTAATTTTGGATATCAAGATAAATCTGAAATTATAAAATTAATTATAGAATTTGTATTATTATTGATTAACACTCAAAAAAAAATTTCAACTGCAAATAATGCGAAAATAAACTGCAATTTGGCAACATCGACGATGTGCGCTTGCGTAGTATCGATGATCAAATGCAGCAAATATGGGCTTCAAGGTCAGCCACCGGATCCACACCTTTACCCAAATTTACTTATACAGTACCCCTCCCTAATATCAAAAAACACCAAAACAACCAAAACCAAGAACAGCACCAAAACCATATCAAAACCAAAAACCAACAACACATCAACAAAAATGGCTACAGCTTTGTCATATTCAGGTAAAAAACAATAATTTTCTTTATATTTAAAACTATTTGGAATCGTAAAACATGATTTTTAGACTTACGAAAGCAAGCAAGGCATCTTGAAAATGAAGTCGACTTAAAATTAGTTGCATTTAGTAAGTTGGGAGCAGGTATAAAATCTCCACATAATGCTGCTTCCTCCGATTCCGTTCCTCTATTATCTAGCGATGATACTTTTGAAGCGATGTCTGAGGAAATTGAACAGATGTTAAATAAGGTACTTTAGTTGACCTTTTATAAAATTACAAAATAAATATGTGTTATCTTTAGTTAACCCAAATTAATGAAAGGCTAGCAGAACAGCCCATTTCAGGGGCAGCAATGCTTCATACTATTCAAAGACACAGAGAAATTCTTGCTGATTTACTAAGAGATTATCATAAGACAAACTCGCAACATGAAAGTCGTAGGGCAAGAGAAGATCTATTAAGAGGTTCCAGTGATACCTTTAGAAATGATGGAGTAAATAATAGAAGAGATATGTACCTAAAAGAGAATCAGCATATTCATAAGTTGGTAGACATTTAGAAAGAAAATATTTCTTTAATTTAGTAATTTTTTTTACAGTTCGGATCATTTAATAAATGAACAAATTGCAATTGCTGTTGAAGCTAGAGATCATCTTTCTAGTCAGCGTCAAACGCTAAAAAGACTACAGACAAGATTCAATGATATTTCTAATAGATATCCAGTTATTAATAGTTTGATAAATCGTGTGAATATAAAGAAAAAGAAAGATTCAATTATATTAGGGTTAGTTGTTGCATCTTGTACAATTCTAATGTTATACTATGCTTTCAGCTAGATGATAGTATAGGCATTTGATATTATTTTTTGTTCTTTAAGCCTATGTTTAAGAATATTCTTTTTATATATATATTTTTAGATATGGGGAAGTGTAGTAATGTTATGTATTCATAAAAGTGATCTAATAAGACAAAAATGTTTAATAAAAAATATTTATTTTTATAAATATCTTTAAGTTGCCTAAACCAATACTATATGATTAAGTACAAAGAATCTGAAGTTTGAATTAACTGAGAAATTCAAGTGGGGGTAAAATCATAATAAAAAATAGTTAATACTGTAAAATAAATTACAAACCATTGCTTACAAAATACTTGAATTAATCAATTTTATCAAGTATTGGAAGTCATATTCTCCTTATCAATAGTTGTTGAATTATAAGGACTCTCTATTCCAAACGGACTATACAATTTTGTTGGTGTTCGACCTAACACTTGCTTGGCCCTTGTACAAGGAGTTTGAGTATTTGGTGTAACTGAACCTTCTTGAAGTATTTGCCTTCTTCTAGTTGATATTTTTAGGTGCTAAAAGTTCCTATAAATTATAATTATTTAAGTAAATAATATATTTTTACTACCTGCGAAAAGGACTCAATGCTAACCCTTACTGAATTAAATGTCTTGGATAGTCTTTCTGTTCCATTCCGAAGATATCTACGAGTGTCATTCAAATTTACAACTGAAAAAACACCCTTACCGCTATCCTTTGATTCTTTCATTTCTGACTGGTCAAATGTATCTTTTAATCGTTTACGGCATAGTCCACTACTTCTTATTGAAGATGAATTGGACGACGATCTTTCGAATGACGTTTCCTTGGACATTATATAAAAATATGGAACTGAACTAGAGTAAATAACTGAAACAGTGTTTATTTTGGACTACATATTAAGAGCCTACCACAATTGTACATACGTTATAGTTGTAGATAATGTTTTATATCTAACTTATGTATATCACACATATACACTCTTCTCTCGTATCGTAATTTAAGAAAATAACACAATATCAAAGATACTTATGGGAGTATTATACAATTTCCCTAAAAACCACACCAGATATATACGGTATACAAAAACAGATATATTGCTATGACGTTTTCGGTAGATATATTATTATGAAAATGACGAAAGGGGTCTTTAAATTAAAATCATAGAATTAAAATCACATTAAAATCTTTCATCTTCGAAATTAAAACGACCGTTAAAAAACTGTCAGAAACAGATTGTGAACAGAACATGGCCAATGGCTTTGGACTGCGCAGGTCACATGACAACATATTAGTTGCCTACCTCCTTAATTAAAATAATTGTATAACTGGTAGAATATATAGGCTAAATGCAAATACGTTTAAAATAAAATATACGGAGGGTACCGCTTAAATTCCTGTCCCGATGTTGAAGGATGGCTATAGAATTTCAATCTTTAGATAAGGAAAGAGGGGGGACAGGTAACACGGCAGCTGAAAGTGAGGCAAGTTTTCACCACTTGAAATTCTCCAATGGCGTAGCATCAGAAATTAGCTTGTACAAAAGACGGTACAAAATATTTATTAAAACGTAAACTAATATATCGTTCATTTTTAAGTAATGCATATACAATTTTGTATGTTATAGTCTCACCTTTATAATATTAGAATATCTAAGTCGATAATGCAAAATTTATTTAACAGTCACAGTGGACTGATTATCAAGACAATTATTTATTTATTAACGTGTGTATAATGTATAATTAAATAAAAAATAATGTAATAACATATGTTTTAAACGTTTATATACATATATACTGTATGATCGAAAAAAACGGCGTCTTGTTTGTTTGGAAATGACAATTTCACAAATGAATATTAAAAATTACATTATTCATTGAATCCGTAAGCAAGTGTGAAGGGAATTGACTAGATTCATTATTACACCGTATAATCGAAAAAAAAACGACGTCCAGTTGGCTTGTAAATTACGATCGATGATATTCCCCATATAATTCTACATATAAAATGACATAAAAACTATACAAAACGACATCGAAAAAAGACGGCATCAGCGATAGCTATGAAATGAAGATCGCTGTCATTTTATATGTAAAATTATATGGGGACTGTCGTCGATCGTCATTTACAAGCCAACTGGACGTCGTTTTTTTTCGACCATACGGTATAATAATGAATCTAGCCATTCCCCTTCACACTTGCGTACGGATTCAATGAATAATGTAATTTTTAATATTTGTTACCTTCAATCATAAGAATATCCTAATTTTCCACAAAAAAATAAACAATTCTAGATGCTTTGTGTTATTTTATTTATTTTTAAATTTTTATTAATTACTCACTGAGACTATTATTATACACCTAAATTGGCAAATTTTTTGAAAGAATATTATATATTCTCTGATTATAATTCCCTACGCCACTGGAGAAATCCATGCTGAGTAGCATTATTTATAGTTTCAAACATTAACTATAATAAAGGATATTGAAAATACTACTTGGAATTATTAAAAATAGTTTGGTTTGGATGTGGTACAAAACTTATTAAAAGCATTTTACATATTTTTACTGCTATAATGAAAAAATGTACATTTTATTATATACCAAACCTTAAAGTAGGACTTAAGTAGGATTTATAAACTCACAGTTGGATTTGGCTTTGGCTTTGGCGCCGCCGCCCAATTCTTAAAACTGTATATTACCATAAGAGCATTATACACGAAACAAATTGTTTCGTCTCCTTTTATTTAGATGTCTTTGGTGTTAGCCGTCCCCTCTCTTTCCTTGTCTAAGATTTCAATGCATTTCCCACATAAGTCTATCCTTGTGTTGTAGGAGGTTTGACTAAACAAGGATGAATTTATGTCTTGAAACCATTCGGCTCGATTTTCTGTCCTTCAATACTGGGACGTAAATCCTCTCATTGCTCTTATGGGGAGCCAAACCAAACCAACGCTATCCACCCCACCAAATAACCAACTTAACCAACGCAACTAACACTGATAAAAAAAAATATAAAAAACAAATATAAATTAGTAAAAACCAACCAACCCCACCAAATAACCAACTAACCAATGAATTAACACCCTCCAAATAACCACGCTAACCAACCCGCCAAATAACTAAACCAATCCAACCAAAAAAAGTGAAACTAATGCAATAAGATCACGCTATAAGCAAAAAGAAATATAATCGTCTTGGTTGGCGTGAGATTTGAACCACGGACCATTCGCTCACGAAGCGATAGCCTCAGCCACGGAGCCACAGGTGCTCTTGCAAAATGCTTATAGCTAGGCATTACTTTCCGCCGACATGAACGACGTCACAATATCTATTAACGGCATTTTAGTAGGCTACCGTTTAACGGCTGTTTAAGTACATCGTTTAAGTTTTTTAAGCCCTCCATAGTTTAAGTACAGCCTTATTTTTTTGCATGAAAAACAAATTACTGATAGGTTTAAACATGGGTTTAAACTGCACTGTTAGCAGTTTAACCTGTGAGTTTAACCTATGAGTTTAACACATTTCTATGGAGTATAGGAGGTAGATGCCCTCTCCTCGGAAGATGAACATCTGTTGTCAGGAGGATGGGAAATACCTTGTCCCCCCGCTAGAACATGAAGATCCCAATGTCATGTATGATAAGTTATAGACTGTATGAGAGAGATGAGCTATAACTCAAGAAAGGGGGACATAATAGATCTCTAAGGCCGCTAGATGATTAACGCCCCTCTTATTCATTCTACATTCTGCAGGGAAATGTCATCGATGTTCATTTCCAAGCCAACTGTACGCCATTTTTTTTCGATCATACAGTATAACACCGTATGACCGAGAAAAAACGGCGTCCAGTTGGCTTGGAACTGACAATCGTTGACATTCCCCGTATATATTTTACATGTAAAATGACAGCGATCTTCATTTCATAGCCATCGCTGGTGCCGTTTTTCGATCACACGGTACAATCATTCAAGCTTGTCTATGCCCTTATCAAACTTTATATTTGCTTTTATACGCAAAGAATATGAATAAGGGGTATAAAAAGTCAAAATTTTATCTTAAAATGATTTTATTAAGTTATAACGCTAACTATGCAATAATATAATAAATATTATTTTAGGTATTCTTAATAAATATAAACGTATAATCTATTATATAACAAAATAGGACGTTTAATATTTGAAAACAAAAAATAAATAACGTTATAATACATTAGAATGTTATAAAATAAGTAGTAAAAGATTTTGAGTAATTGAAAAAGTATTTAAAAAATCGTTAATTTTCAATAAAAAAATATTTTCATACATCTATACCTTAATTGATACTAATAAAATATATTCATAAATCACAAATGGTTCAACAAGTCATAACTATAACAAAATTGTTTTTTTTATAATAACTCTGCTTCTCATGTTTTATCCTTTGGACTGTTCTGGCTCACAATTTTAAATTATCTAAATGTTTCTGCCAAATCCCATTCCAATTAATTTATCACAAGGCTGGAATCACTTCATGATATAGATCAAAATCTAAAAACGAGTTATTGCTTTTTAAGCCTATGTTTTTTTAGTTTACACCTTATGTCATCAGTCTTCAAAAAGTATGTTCAACTCAAAAACAATTAACATTCAATCATATGGACCTATACTACGTCTGTAAACCTTATCTTGTAACACACTTACTCAAACAATATCTGAAATTGCATCATCTATATGGTAAAAGATCTAACATTCCAACTTACTTCTAAACGCCGCAAATTGACCTTCAATTTTCACAATCCCCTCTTAAATCATTTTAAAATCAACAAACAAGCGCTAAAAAGCTTTACACATATAAAATATTTTAAAAATAAATTATAAATAAATACCAACTTCATATAGAAAGTGTTTAAATACGAAAAAATGCCACTGTAAAAAGTCACCCACAAAAATACGAAAATCAATAGAATGCTATTTTTTGGCACACCTTTTGGAAGTATCTTATTAATAACTCGGACGTTTATTTGTATTAACTGGAACATAGATAATTCAAGAGTACACGAAAACAATTCCTTGTTGAAATAAAACTCAAACCAATCACTCATTCTGTTCTATTTATGTCAACTTAATAATAGAAATCATACAACATGTAATATCTAAGCCTCAAACTGAAAAGCAATCCTTAATCTCATTGTCATCATAACTATAATACAAACACTTTTACTTCCCTGGCAATTTAAAAATTATTCCCATACATTATACCACATATTAACCTTTCTTGAATATACAACACCAAATTTATAATAAAAATCTATCTCTAATAAGAGAATCAATAACACAAAGACATACATTACATCATCCAAAATATATAACAAAAAAGATAATAAAACTTTATAATAATCTTATTCCTACTTATTATATGCATATAAGGACATTGAAGATAATAACTATATTCTATTCATTTTTAAATAGTGTTATAAAGTCGATATTATTAATAACTGTTTTAGCATGCTAAAAAAATAAATAATTTTCATTATAATGAACAATGGCAGATACAAAAACGATAATCAAAATTAACTAACATGATAAATGCTCTAAAGCACAGAATACCTTAGCTAAAGATGTGCCCAACGAGTCAGGAAAGATTTCAACAGGCGACATCAAAAAAATAAAATAGGTAAAATACAATTTATTTGTGAAAAATGTCTATACCTATGTGGCAGATTCACCTCTCCAAAAAATCCTATATGGGCATTTCGCTACTGCAAGAAAATCTACAAAATAAAATAGTTATTTTTTTGTAAACACTTCTTAAGCTTGATTTTCATGCGTCCGTTATCCGTTGATGCGATGGTCCGATATTAATTTTATTGGTTGACTTTAAAGACTTCAATTGATTAGAAACGGTTATCCAATCGAAGTCTTTAAATTCAACCAATAAAATTAATATCGTATCATCGTATCGTCGGACAACGGATGCATGAAAATCAAGCTTTAATAATATTATTATTTATTTTAACAGAACGTCAACGGTTTTATTTTATATAGATTTTTGTCTTTATTCTTTGTATTTTTTTTGCTTCCGACGACGGAAAGAGATAAACTTTCCGAAACGTTAAGCTTTTTTTTGTTCGTTAGGCAAATTTGTATATCTGTAAACCTAGCTTCTGACAAGTAGTTTCCGTTTGGATTAACTCAGAAGTGTTTACAAAAAATAACTATTTTATTTTCTAGATTTTTTGGAGAAATTTATTTGTGGAAAGACTATATACCAGGTGCGTCTCAAAAGTAAACCCTATAACTTTTTTACTTTTTCAGATAAAAAAACGAGATATGGTATGTTAGTATATGATATAAATTAGGATTGATTGACGTATTCAAATGTTTTCGGTCACTTCCTGCTTCACCGGAAATGACTACAACTTTTAAATGATTTTTAAATAGCACCCTTAAACGCCGATTCAAGGTTTCGCTTGCCAGCAGGGTATAGTGTGTCCAACGATTTAAGGAGGATTTCCACAAACGACATCTCAAAAATTAAACAAAAAAATCCTGCGAATTTAAATGACAGATAAGACTGTCATTGTCAGAGATTCGCTGTTGGACAATCCTTATTAACCAGTGATAGACATTTAAGCGTCTGCCCTTTTTACCGACCTATACTTTTAATTATTTCGGAATAAATTTTGATTTCTACACAAGATAAAAAAACGTACTATGAATTAAAAGACCAAATATAATGAAGTAAATTAAATTCTTACATCAGTTACTAACAGTAAACAAATTAAATAATCCGCAAAAACTAGTTTTTTTTGCATTAGCCAGTGTGTTTGTGTGTTGTATAAAATAAAACCAGCACAGTGAATCATGAAATATTTCAACTTCGACAGATCTCATCAAAAAAATTAGTGAAAATAGAATTTAAGTGTGAATTAACATTACAGACACAACTGTCACTATTATGTATCCTCTCGTCGGACGGACTATAGTTATTTAGGTAATTCTGTGCTAATAGGCGACAATGTTCCACGTATACCGATATTAACTAATTCAAACTCTCGCAAAATTTAAATCAATAATTTTTTTTGTACCTTTATCGATTACAAGTTACAAGTGAAACATTGTCGATAACATTGAATTTAACTGATAGTTGAGAAATAAAACAGTAGCTCCAAATTTTAAAATGTTGTAAAATAAATTATGTAATTTTATAAAAAAATATTTTTGGTATGAAAACAGCTTTTATAAACACTTCTAAATTCGAATACACATATAACTGTATTATTTTTGATATATATGTCCTATATCATAAATTGATAAAAAAACAATTTATGATGAAATAACAATAAAAAAATTCCAGATAAACAAAAAAACGGCATCAGAGTTGGTTTGTAAATGAAAATCGCCGTCATTTTATTTGTTAAATTATAAGGTGTATTTTATGGGTTGTCATTTCCAAGCCAACTTGAAGCAGTTATTTTCCGATCATAAGTACTATTAGAAAAGTAAAATTTATAAAATATACAGGTCAAAAATGAAAATAAAAACATTTACTAAACGTATTTAGAAAGATTTAAATACTAAAAGTAGTGCAAGGATCTATACACGTTATGGGTTAGATTCAGATAGACATGAATACTAGAATATAAATCACCTTATTTAATGTTGTTGACGATGACCTTGTACAGCACTATGACTGTTAATTTTGACGGTACTTCTGGTTACTAAAATTACTTTTGTAATCAGTTTTATTAGTCTGAAAAATATGAAAAAAATACATTAAAATTATTATTAACAGGGTTCAGGAAAATAAAACATCTTTTTTATTCAATTTAAAAGATCCTTTACAAAATAAAAATATAAAAAACACTTACTAGATAAACCATAGTCTTCTTAATAACCTCGCCATGTGTTTGGGAGGCGACCGCCCTTCCCTAGTCATACTTTAAGAACCCTTTGTCTTGGTTCTGGCCCGGTGGAGGCCTGGCAGGCCATTGGCCGCCATCTTGACCTCCGCCTGGTCCGCCGCCTCCCTGATTCATCCAGTTCAGAAATCCCGGGCCTCCCCCGCCTCCTTGATTACCTTGACCTTGATTACTTCCTGCGGAAAAGCCACCTAGAGAATCAAGACATTAATTTGTTTTGTACGATATTACAGGGGTTGGTCTGGATTTTAACAGATAATATTATTACATGTTGTCTTTTTTCAAAAAGTTATATACTTAAGTGTTTGAATTAAGAACCCACGGAATCCGTAACAATTAATGTCAGAAGTGGGAGTCAAGAGGATTTTTAAATTGTAAGAAAAGAAATTAAGTGGATTTGAAAGATTTTATGTCAATGGAATTGATTAGTGATTGAGAATGAATTATTTTAAACGCACATGGGAAAGTGCGGATGGCAGGACAGTAACAACTCAGTTACTGTCACCAAGAAAGAAGATTACCCAGCTTTAGGAAGAAATTCACGGTGGTAAAACTGGAGCCCATCTTAGAGCAAACCAGACCTTGAGCAAATTAAGAGGTCGTTTTTACTGGGTAGATTATTGCAAAGATGTCAAGCAATGGTTTGGTTTGGTTTTTTGCAATGGTGTCGACAATGTAAACTTTGTGCTGCTATCCAAGGACCAAGCACTCGATCTAAGAGAAAAATGAAACAATACGTTGGACTTCTATTCAAAAGAATCGCTGTTGACATTGCAGGTCCATTCCCTGAAACGCACTCGGGTTGACTTTTGCCATTATGACATCTTTATCGTCATCTTACACATTAAAATCCAGACGAGAGATAGAGGATGACAAGGTACTTGTAAAAGGTTAATGAAAAAATTGTTTACCGCTGTTATTGTTGGGCCCATTACTGAATCCTTGATTGAAATTGGGTTCAGGTTGATTCTGAAGGTTACCTATGAGACCCCAGCCTGCCTGATTCAACGCAGCGGCAACAAGCGCGGGGTTCATTGGAAGGGCTCCCAAATTAAGTCCTAATCCAAGAGGATTGCAACCTCCCTGGTTGTTATTTTGTTGTCCTTGGCCCGTAATGCCTGTTAATGTTAACTATATTATAAACATAATATGGAATAAAATAAAATATTTATAACTGACAATATTTTCTGTAGAATAATACATACTTCCTTACCTGTTATAAAGACAATATAATTATACTCATTAAAATTAAAAAACGAATTTCATGCAATGCTATTTAAAGAGTAATAGTTTTTTAATCAATAACTAGTAATTTATAATATAATTTTTGAGCATCTTTATTAAGAATCTTTTCTATGACATCCATAATTTATAATAATCATAACTCTCTTCAACAAAGTAATAAAATAAGATTAAAATAAACACATTAATATTTGTTTTTAGAAGTATAGTAATTTAAAGCAGCTGTGATATTTTGCATGTCAGGTACATTAGATATATTGGGTCTAGTACTATATCCTACAAATAAACTAGGGTTAGGATGGTTTAAGGTAAATCAAACAGGAAAGCTCAGTTATAACAAATGTTTTTTTTTATAATATCACAATATTTATTTTAGAAATTTCAATTTTAACTATATATCAATTTTTTTAACAATGTCTTTATTAAAAACGAAAAAAGTTGGTTTTGCGATATTACAATTTTAATGAACAGCGATAAGATGCCTTTTAGTTTATTTAATAATGATATACATAAAATAAAGGTGCAAAAAAATCAAGATTTTTTTATTTAAACTTTTTTTTAAATGGGATCTCCAACTAATTAACGACTTATTTTGAGTTAATGTCCTAAATAGCTATATCTTCGTAAGTCGAGATTTAAAAACAACAAAAACTGTTTTTAAATCTTTGAAGGATTAATTAATAAAATATGTAATATTAAATTATTAGTTAGGAATGTCAAATTATTCACAAGCTGTTTTTAAAAAAAATCTAAATTAAATATTAATTTAAGATATTTTTGTCAATTTTTTATAAATGATATATGAGTTAGGCGCGACAGAAGTTATCCTTGTTTACCAATGGCACTACGATGCTGTTTCACTATGATCATAATGTTTCATTCCATATTTATGGTAATCATAGTAATCATACCATTATTTTTGTTATAAATGAGCTTTACTACATTAAAGAAAGCACATAATATAGGCTTGGTGCATTCTCCGCCGATGTTGCCAAAATCGGAGAAAATTGTAAACAACCGGTATATACAAATACACAGGTTTCAATAGCGAGTACATGAAAAATTTATTATATTCTAAAATTCTAGGAAGTATAATTTGTGAAAAATCTAAAAATAAATATAAAAAAGTAAATATTTTGATATATTCGAAAGGTCTAAAGCTTGATTTTCATGCATACGTTATACGTTGATACGATGGTCCGACGGTGCTCTGATTGGTCATAGCGTTTTCGCGCCGCTTTTCATCCGTATATATTTTACTTCATCCCGTCAACGGACCCATTCATACGATAACGGACGTTTTGACAAATTTAGTCCAACTTTAATAAAAATATAAGTAAAATAGCAAAATCGTTATGGAAACGAAAATATAAAATGACACCAACGTATATCCGATAAATGGAGGCATGAAAATGCAATAAATTTAAAAACTGCGTTATTTTCTAACCAATCAAAGTGTTTAAATTTTACCAATAAAATTAATATCGTATCAACGTATCGTCGGACAACGGATGCATGATAATCAAGCTTAACTTGTATTATAATTTATTATTTAAGGTAATAAGACTTTTTAAGGTGGGTATACACATGCGAGCCGAGCGGTTCGCAAACCGCTCGTGAATCGCTCGTTAGCAAATTGTTTTTGTACGAACCTTCAACGATCCAAGGGAAAAGCGCGAACGCCGCAAACCAACCGAAAACATGCAGTCATTTTTGCGATGCGACGCGACGCCGGTACGGGTACGCGTTTAATTATGTCTGCGCGAGAAGAGAAGTATGCTCTGTTGGTAATGAGTGGTGCATTTTTAATGATGGCTAGTTTAGGAAGAAAAGGAAGCAGCGACGTTGGTGGCACACTAACCTGTACAAAAAACGTACCAGTATGCTAATAAAGAAATAATTTTCTTCTTACATTGGCCTGCATTTTTTTTTCAGTTCGACACCTATTTCCCTCCAACCGTCCTCCTTTAAATTTTTTTATAATGTTCTTTATGTTTTGGATCCCATAATAAAGCTTTTTTTCTATAGAGATCAATTAAATCTAAAATGATTTCCTCGGACCACTCCATATTAAAATAAACCTCTATACCTCTTCCAACCGGTAAACAAAAACTAAAAATTGAAAACAGTGCGTCTGGATTGTCTGGAGGTTCGATACAAACAACGAACAACACACGAGCCCGTCCACCGAGAGCCACGAATCCCTTTGTGTTCGTCAAAAAACCCGATAGGAGGCGGATCGCCGCGAATGGTTTGCGAGCCGTTCGTTCGTTGCTCAAAACAACGTACACACTTGCGAATTATAGGTTCACAAGCGGTTCGCAAAACCGCTCGGCTCGCATGTGTATACCCACCTTTAGATAGGTTCAACTAGGGTAGCAGCATAGTTTTACGCACCGATTTTGATAGCGGAGACATAACTAGGGCTATTTTGGTTATAACGATTTTTTTTAAAGGCGCATAAATATACTTTTAGAAGATGTTCATAAAAAATGTATGCACTAGTTAATTAAAACAAGTATATCATTAATATTGCAAATTATAATTTATCCTCTCATAGTATACGCTTATTTAATTTTTTGATTATCTAATGCCCACTTTGTTTACTCACTTGTATCGTCGAGCTACTTGAATCCATTTTTGCTTTTGATCAAATCGGTGTGAGAAGTTCTGAAGCTATAAAATGTTGTTTCGTGAGTTGTTTGACAACCAGAAAGCGACGCCCAGTTCGGGTTCTTTTTCATTTAATTTTTACTACCCGAAACAGCGTTACATCACACAAACCTCATATCTGAGTGTTTTATAGTTTCAATAACTGCGCTATTAAAAACTAAAATACTTAAATATTATGACAAAGCCATGGTTTTAATATTATTTCAATGTTATCAACATCGGAACTACCTGAAATACAGAGCGAATTGATTCTGATGATTGCTGTATTGAGGCTGCGGTCGTAATTTTTAAGATCAACTGAAATGCACCAAACCTATAAAGGTCTCAAAATGAATAACAGTTTACCTGGATTTTGGTTTAGATTGTTAACTTTTGGAGTGAAGGAATCGGGAGATAGGAAGTTAACTATAATACATAAATATATATTAAAATCAAAGAAATTTTAGTCACAACCTGACTGTTTTAATAATTATAAATTATTTATAATTTCCTATTAATGTGTAGCAAGGCAATATTCTGTAATGCTGTTGCTAGATAGTATAAAATTTTAAGATACTAAATACTATCACTGGTGGAAAAAAATTCTTTGGACTGAAAAACTGTTTGTTTACACATTTTTATATATTTTGAAACTGTATCTTGTGCCCCCACATCATTGTTTTTTTGTGATATTGCTTAAGTTCTTTTTTTCTGTAACTGATGATGGCAATAAAATTTATTTTTAATACTTATTTTCCTGGTATCATCTATAGACTAATTAATACATATTTTGCAGATAAAAATAAGTAAAAAAGGTCGTATAAATTTATGTCCTATAATACTTCGTTTCGAAGATACAGGGTATAGAAGTTTCATTTTATTTTAATTTTTTAGGGTTCCGTACCCAAAGGGTAAAAACGGGAACCCTATTACTGAGACTTCGCTGTCCATCCGTCCGTCTGTCACAAAGCTCTATCTTATGAACCGTTATAGCTAGACAGTTGAAATTTTCACAAATAATATATCTATGTTGCCGCTATAAGAACAAATACTAAAAATAGAATTAAATAAATGTTTATAAATAAAAAAGTACTTTCACTAAACATTATCTTTTAAGTAAGAATTTTACATAGAATCTTTCAAGTCCTCGGTGCCGCGTGGTTAAAGCGTTAGGATTTTACGCTGCTATGACGTTGGAGCAGTAGTGAGGCAGGTTCAAATCCTAGTCAAGGCTACTTTTTTTTAATGTTTTTTTTTTAAATTTTTACATATTTTTACATATTTATTTTTATTTTTTACATATTTATTATTGATTAATACAATTTTTAGTATTGTGTTTCTTCATTTTTTTTTAATTACTCATACGCGCATTCAAGATTTCAGCTAAATCGGAAAAAAAGTTTATAATAATATAGTGTCTAATGTTGTATAGATAATGAATGGTACGGAACCCTTCGTGCGCTAATCCGACTAGCACTTGACCAACAAAATTAAACTCGTAAGTATTCAATTTTACCAAATATTGAAAATTTCAAATATAATAACAAATTTATTATAAAAAGTTTGGTTCCGACCATAGCCTATTAAGTATCAGCCGGTCAACTTATCGTCTGTGTTTATACAAATTGAGTTTATACAAAGTTCACTAACACAACCAACTATTAAAAATCGCTAAAATTGTAGCTGATGACTCATTCGTTGCTTCCAAAAGAATGGCGTCAAGTCTAGGGTCACAAATTCAGCTGCAGCCCGTAAATGGGCGTTACATGTTCTTGTGTTCTTTAGTCATTGCATTTATTTAATCCGTAATATCTACCTAGAGTGACGTCATAAATCTCACACCGAGGCTGCTCTCCTATAGAAAGCAATAGTCAATATGACTCCTACTTGTAGGGGGCGCCACCTACATATTTTTTCATTGTTTTGAAAAATAATAACTTTTCATCCGTACATCTATAAAACCGAGTGAAAAGATCTTTGAATAAGAAGACTAAGGAAGGAGCATATCAAAAATCTTAGGTACACCGCGATGGGCCTCAAATATGGCCGACTTAAATTCCGTTTTATCAGTGTCGTTCTAATTTTATTTAAAAAATGTAAAACTATGATGTAGGGTAGACGTGGGGTAGACTCAATAATTTGTTGTTTTATTTTACGTTGTGAATAAATGTCGGTAGTTATTAAAATTGTTATAAAAATATATAATTCTAATAAAAATAGATAA